ATGAAGCCAATGAAAGAGGTCTGTGTAAAATCCCAGCCTATGTACCATCATGATCAAGCTAGCTATTCAAGGAGTCTGAAGTGGCTGAGTTTTTTTAAATCTTTATATAGTTTGATTACTAAAGAAGCAAAAAATTCACTCACACCTGAACATTTAATTAGCTGATTTAATTTGTCTCTGGGCGCTGCTGGAAAAATCTGTATGTTAATAGTCAAAACATTACTTTATTAACCTACCTTGTGGACTTGACAGCTCTTTTGAGTTTTACGTTATTTATAATTTTAAATTTATTTCAAGGGTAGGAAGAAAATTTACTCTTCTTAGTTTAAGTGTATCTATAAGTCAAATAATTTTCTCTAGGTCATACTCGCAAGGTTTTGATTTTGCAACTGACCATAAGGCAGTAGGAAATTATTTTCTTTCTTGTTAATTATTTAAAATTAACACTGTGTGCTATCTTCAGCAAAAAGGACTCTCTTTTGCACTTAAGATATAACAGAAGATTAAATTCTCAACGAATGGGACAGTAATCTTTAACAGTACCTTAAACCAAAGGAAAACGAATGTTTTCTTGTATCATTTTCAACCAGAAAAAGTTACACTTTTAACCTAGTAGAAGCAACTAACAAGCTTCTTTATTAAAATGGAAACCATTTTAATGTTTTTAGCCTGCCTACTCTTCAATCTAGAGCAGAGAATTATTTTGGGACATAGAGGGGGCTATGCTAACCCTGAGGAGACTGGGTCAGTCTGGCAGGACACAATCACAGGCCTGAATGATTACAAATACAGTATTAACTTCTCAAACTCCAGTTCCATCCCTCCACTTCAGACAAAAACAAACAAACAAAAAAAATTCATCCACCCTCCAAGTCCCATAGTCTTCACAGTGGGGAGACAAATTTGGGATGCCTATAGCCCTTCTTATATCCTAGCATATAATAAAAATTGTGCTTTTTCCATTCTATCCTGACTCCAAGATTGGTTTTTAGGTGGCAGGAGGCAAAAATCATGCTTTTCTGGCAACAATTTCTTACTGTCAAACAGTAATAATGTATAAGCAGCTTTTGTAGAAATATTACCAAGAGTACAATCCATTTTCCATTGTTCACAGGAGGAAAGGAGATATAGAATGGAAACTGCAAAATTAATAAACTACTTTAAATTTGGTTTTGTGATGCAACTGAATACACAATCAAATAAGTATGATTCTTACTAGGATTTCATGGTTCTGGAATTGTAACACTCAGAAACTCATTTCAGTGCTGAGAGACACGAAAGAGCACCTTTTAAACACACAGCTATTCTATGCATAGGCAAAAATCGTGACTAACAGTTTAAATTGTCCTTGAACACAAAGGACACTGTGTTGTCTGGGAGTCTGTCGTCTTGCATGATAGAACTTTCTGGTCAATGGCCAAACCATCAGTTAAACACACTTTTGTAATAGAATAAAAAAAGAAAAAGATGCTCAAATATCCAATCAATCAACCAGCTCCGTGCTGGATAAGAATTCACGAACATATAGCTTATTATGACAAATTCTTTAGCCTAAAAGAACCTGTGGCTTAGCTGAGGAAGATAAGATTTTTCCAAAATTGCAAGGGGAATGGAAATGCTCACCTTTTTTAAATTCTTGTGTCCAAAAATGAGGATCAGCATATACAAATTTACTGTATCTTTGACGAACTGCCTCCTGGTATGTCTTTGAAATGAAACACAAAAAAAAAACCCAATAAAAATAATAACAACAATATAAAACATGTCCATGTCTCAACCTAACAGTATTGGGAATTTTTCTATGATCATTTCTTCACTGAAGAGCCTAAAGGCTAAAATTCTGTGAGAAGCAGTCTAAAAGTCAAGAAGGTCAAATTCTCTGTGACTTGAAAAACTGTAACAGGGTAAAAGAAGCAACTGAATGGAACTTAAAAGCTGACGGATGAAAATATCTGTGATCCTTTTTTGGGACCGATGTTTTGTGGACTATAGAGCAACAGAAACAAGGGACAATAATAATAACAACTATAAATTAAAAAAAAAAAAAACAACCACAAACTATAAATTAATGAGTTATATGTGAGTTAGCATGTGGAATACTCTTTACACATCATTTTCTCCTTAAAACAGTGACTTTACTCAGGTCAGACACTTAGCAGGCAGTGGAGCGGGACTTTATGAATCATGTCAGTGAGTCAGAGGCACAGACCTACGGAAACTCGAGGCCCCAATCCAGCAAAGACTAGTCCCTCACATAAGCCAGCGATGTGGTCTAGGCCTTACTTCCATTTCTTCCATTCGGATCATCATGGTCTGCAGAGCTGTAATATTCTGGCCTTCCTCTAAGATCTCGAAGTGAGTCACTGCCTGGAACATGCGAGTGGTATCATCCAAAATATCATCTGCCAAACTCAAGTGGCTGGATTCAGAAACAGGTGCAGTCTACAAGACAACGGAGCGGGATAGTCAAAGGAGTGAGAAGTGCTTAAAGAGTCCTGGGACTCAAGAAACCAACCATAGTGAGGCGAATGGCAGGATTCCAGGACAAACAAACATTTTATAGAGTAGTAAACAGCAAAAGCCATAATTTCAGGACAATTTTTACTCTAGTTATTTAAATGGCAATAATACCCAAGTCATGCCACTTTACAGTGTTACAATCTTAAGCCATTATTCATGTAAGTGTCTCTGGTAAAAAAGGAGGATAGTAGCAATGTTGGCGGCTCAGAGAATCAGATTATTCAGTATATTTTGAAAGCTTTTCCAAAAATCAGCACTGTTTTGTCACTTGATAAACCTTTTGCTATCCTCAGGGGAATGTCCAATATTTATCATGCCAAATAAACCAGAATAGAATACTGATCTAGTCTCTTCTGGTTCAATACTTTTGTAAAAACTTCTCTTCATGCTATCACCAAAGCCTTGATTCTGAATCCTTGGCTTCAGATCATTCATTCTAACTGGGGAAAGCTTTCCCAATCACCACCTTTTTTCACCATATACCCTTTATATTACAAAGCATCTTAATGTTTACAAAGCATTCTATGTGTATTGTGGTGGTGTGTTTTGTTTTTTTTTTTTTTTAGTTTTTAAAAATTTATTATTAATTTCAATGAATATTTAGTCTTTGGATTTCCATTCATTCACTGTTGCAGTATTTTTATTTCTAATATGTATCTTCATCTGCTCAGAAGAGGCTTCTGCAAAGAATGTCTCGAGAAATGATCATATCAAGCTTGTGAAATGAGGCAATAATTACTATGTAAGCCTATGTAACCTAGGGCAAGTTTATTCAATCTTTCTGGGTCTTGATCTTTTTATCTGTAATACGGAAACGACAATCTCATAATTACGTGGGAGCAGGCACAGGGTTTGGCATGAAATAAGAGAACAAATGAGTGCATATCATGATATTGTTGTTGAGTCTCCTATGACTCATTGTGACCCTATGAACAACAGCTTTAAACTCTGACCTATCCCAAGTCAGTCTCACTGTCTCTGTGTCAATCCATCTCCTCCAGGGTTTCCCTCTCCTGTGCTGTCCCTCCACTCTTCCAAATATAACGTCCTTCTCCAAGGTGCTACCTGATTTCACCCTGAGATAGACTTGTTTGTTTTGTTGGCAGTCCATGGTATGTTGATCAAATGTAAATGGTTATCAATATAATTTTATAGAATAATCTAATTGTTCACAGATGAAAATGGATTCATGGTCAATAAAAACCATGAAAATATGCTCAGCCTCAATCAAAGAAATCCAAACCAGTTAATATACTATAAAAAGTCTACAAAAACTTAGCCAATAATATAAATTTAGTTAATTAAGGAATGTGTATTGTGCAGCTTTAGGACTATCACATGCCATTAAAAATTCGTAAGAAAAGTCTAATGTGCTAACAGAAGTCCCTGGGAGGTACAAATGGCTAACTGATCAACTATTAGCTAGAAAGTTAATGACTCACACCCAACGACAGGCACCTCAAGGTTAGGCCTAGTGGTCTACTTCCGAAGGGTCAGTCTTGAGGAGTGACTGGACTCTGTGCTAAAGTCTGTCATGAGTTAGAACAGACTTGACAGCAACTAACAATGACAACAATGTGCTTAACGGGGAAAGATCACTGAAACAAAGTGAAAGACAGCACAAGAAGGGTATCTGGTATTCAACTGTGGCAAGGTCTAACACTTCATATTATACTTTTCATTTTTTTGGTTTCAAAATGTGGCATATAAATTTAATTTTAAGAGACTCACATTTTTGAAAATAGTTGTTACTTTGTGCCAGATTGTCCCATCTGTCAAAGGTACTTAGGAGTTCTCTTTTATTTGTATAAAGTACAGTCTTCTCTATTTTGCAGAAGAGAAGCTCAGAAATTGTTCAGGGTCCTGTAACTCTTTTTAAGGTTATCAAAGGGGGGGGGGGATTCCACTTCTTCTCCATCAGCAGCGCACATCCCAATCGTCTATAGTGACTTACAAAAAAAGTATTGTGGTCAGGTGAAAGCTTACAATAGCAATGGGCCTCCCATTCAGTATTTTATATATAAAGGCAGTTCTGTTTCACTGGTGCAATCTGCATAGTATGTCTACTCATTCTCACTTGGGTACCTTGTTTTCATTTACTCACTTTTCCAGCTCCTGGTCTTTTTAACCTTGCTTTTGAGCAAATGCTGCCATTTTGGTTTTGTACAGTTGATTATTCTGAGAAGCATGTTTCTCCCTGATGTTATTTTTTATTTTGTGGGCCTGTTTCCTGTGTGGATCAAAGGTATTCTCCACGAATGTAATAAGTTCTCAGAAGAGCCAGCTTGAGGGTTCCACCAGTCACTATGAGACCAGAAAGCCTGCTCTTTTTTAATGAATATAAATTTTTCCTACCTTTTCTATGAAAATGGAATTTGTTCTTTTCCTCCCACATTCTTTCTGATAATTTCTGTTAGTAGTCAAAATGGTTGGTGTTGGTAGGGGGCACTATTTAGTTCTTCTGGTCTCAGGTTAGGGTACTTTAGCACACTGGACATGGGTTTTCTCACTCTTAATAGTTTCTGAGGAAAAGTGACCAATGGTGGTACCTTAGATGGCAGCTTGCTAGTTTTTAAGACCCTAGTGGCTATTCAAAATACACTGTAAAATAATTTCTAGATTTTATTTATTCCAGTTCACTTCTGATAATGATTCTATAATGATACTAAGTTTATAGCAGCCACCCAGAATTCTAATTCAAAGACTACTTAATACAAATTAATTTCTATGCCTAAAAATACTAAAAAAACCCCACCTATTTCTATGATGGCATTTATAATATAATTTTTCATTCATGTTAAAAGAGTCTGCTATCTGCAGACACTGTGGGCTAAGTAAAATGAAACAACAGCTGGTAACTTGAACCACGTGACTGGATTGTAGCACAGCATTTTACTAAGGTGTAGCATCAGATTCAAGCATGACAACACCACAGAAAAGAATGTCTCTCATATATTCATGGGACTGCTATAAGCTGGCACTGACTCAAGTACAGCTCACAACATTTATCACATTCTTCCTTTAATTATACTTTTCCTTTACTCTTTTATTTACAATCTTCTATCCATTCCAAATAAAGATGACCTGACAAGAGTGCAGAAACTATTGAACAGTATCATTAAGATATCACATGCAAGCAAGATTCTGCTGAAAATCATCCAAAAACGACTCAAGTAACATGTCAACAGAGAAATGCCAGATGTGCAGGCTGGGCTTAGAAGACGTACTAGGGTTATTATAGCTAATGTTAGCTAGATCTTGGCTGAAAGCAGAGTACCAAAGGAATGTTTGTGTTTCATTTGACTATGAAAAGGTGTCTGTGTAGATCACATAAACTGCGACTAACTCGAAGAATGAAAATCTCAGAACATTTGACTGTGCTTATGTGAACCCCATACTTGGACCAAATGGCAGTCATCAGAACAGAGAAAGGAGATACTGATGGGTGTCCGCAAGGGATGTATTCTGTCTCCATACCTTTTCAAGCTGTATGCGGCACAGATCATCCAGGAGGCTGGGCTGTATGAGGAGGAATGTTGCATCAGGACTGGAGGAAGATTCATCAACAATCTGCGTTAGGCAGACTGTTAAGGGTAGGTGTGAGAGAGACAGTGAGATTGGCTCCAGATAGGACAGGGTTCAGAGCTATAGCGTTGCTATGAATCGCTGAGACATGACAGCACATTAACCACAACACTGAAGGTAATTTTTTTTTCTCTGTATTTTTTATGATCCTATTATTCATAACATAGGATCATGAACAGTGTTCCCTTAAATGATGTCTATGTATGATGATATCAGGAAGCTCTGGTGGCAAGAAGCTGTAAGTCATGGTTTGAAGCGACCAGCTGCTCCGAGGGAGAAGGATGAGCAATCTCCTTTTATGCTATTACCGGCCTCTGAAAACAGCTCTCTCTGGTAAACAACAACATCAGTATGTAATCTTCCAATCACTTGATAAGGATAGGATGCAACACCCTCGATCTGGTTACAGTTCTGATTCAAAAGGACAGTTTCCCTGATATGTGAGTCAGACAACTTTTACCTTTTAAAAGGACCTTTTGTTTAAACGACCTAAAATGTTATAGCAGCACAAAATAAGATTTTCTTGTGTTATCAAAGATTCTTAAAAAGGTCTATCAATTTTTTTAAAAACACTGCTTAAATCTACTGTATTCCTGTCGTTGAGGTCACTGGCTGACTGGACTTCATTCCAATCCTTCTAACTATGATCTTAGTACATCCTCTGCCCTAAGACTTTGTAGCAAGTAAAGCAACTACAAGTCTTTTTAATCTCAAAGATCAAATCGCTGCAATTTACACTCTCTGTTCACCAGCCCAGCCAATGCAGAATAAGAACATTTCCATAATTACTGAAAACAAATCCTGCAGAAGAGCACAAGGAGAGACAATAACAATGTGTGCTTTCCTTTTTCTCCAGCATTTCCAATTCCTTACTCTCTGCTAGGCTAAATACTGGTAACATATTAGGTACTTGAAACATACTTCCTAACAGGAAAAATTGGATCTCAAAGTATAAAGGAAATGAGGTCATTAATGAATCAAAGTAAGATGAACAAAAGGAAATGAGGGGCTGCTGTCCTGCTACCGCCATTCATACATTGGTCCACTTGTATTCTATCATCAATGGAGAAATGAAGAGGCACTGACAAAACCCTGTGGTCCTCAACACTCCTGGGAGCTGCTTCCTAGGATGACTTTAGTTAGCTGTAAGAATGCTAAGTAGAGAAAAAGATCACATCGTTTTTTTTTAGTAGGATAATCCAATGGTTGCTCTGTAATATGCTAATCATTTGCCTTACAACTGAATACATGACCATACAATAACACTGTCGGCGGGGGAAAGGCTGGGCAGGGAGAAAAATGCAACAATAAAATGAATGGAAATCCAAAATCTCTGTAAATGTTCATTAAAATTAATTTAAAAAGACAACACAAAGAAACAACAACACTGTCAGTTCAGAGTACCAACAAATGCAATACACACCTCCTCTGATGGCTGGGCTGCTGCTGTGTTTACGGAAAGATCAGCCTTCAAATGAGTGTCTATGTCCACAGAAGAATTAACTCTCTGTTAAGAGAGACAAGTAAGTTAATAGGGGTATAAAAACCTCACAACTCATGAGTACAAATGAATTATATTACCAGAATAACTTCAGTGCAGAACTGTTTATCAGCATTAGCTACATTAAGCTTTATGTACTAGTTCAAAGCACTTTGTTTTCATGAAAATCAATGCCATGTGTTTGTTAATCTTGGCTTTCTTTCCTTGATTTTAAAAACACTGTCAGAATAGCTTCTGCTTTTATAAAGTGACACACCTTCTTTTTCTGTTCCTTCATGGATAAAATGTAGAGGCTGTCCTTTTCAGCCTCTGAGAGCCCTCCCAGTTCTATAATGCTTATCTGTTCCATGGATTCAAATAACTTCACTGCTCTTAAACTAGTAACAGAGTTCAGTGGCCTCTTCATGGACCCAGAACAATTTTGTTCCCATTAAAAATAATATTCTTCTGAGGAACACATCTAATCACACAGACAAGGTTGTTTTTATTTACAGGTTGATCTGCAGGGCTTAGCTTCCTGCTTCCCAGAGGGTAACACATTAGTAGAGACACCGTATCTAATTCCTAAAAAGTAGTGGTCTGTACACAGAAAATTTCCTAGATTTCCTTTCTTTAGAAAAATGGAGCCAGTCATTCTAAACCACTGAGGTGCAACAGCACATCAGAATGAAGGCAGCTAACTGAGTAACAGATCTACTCGATTAGGACAGGAATGAAAATCTAAACTCTTTGCCTAAATGAAATCTTTGGTAATGGTGGGACTTTCTCTATCTCCCTTTATCTCTTACCCATACTGGAGAACACAAGACTGTGTGGATGTTTATGCATATCCAGAAGGCGACCCAGCAGCACTCCACCTACACTGTGCACGTCAGATCCGCATTACAGGCTCCAGCTGACACACACACACTAGGACCTACAGAGGCCCAGGCTCTGCACAACCCTATTTTAGTCTAGGCCTCCCTAAGGGCATGCAAATGAGGTGAACTAGATTACCTGGGCCGTGTCCAAAAGAGGCTTCAGCCGCTCCAACACTGCCTGCTCTACTTTGTCGACTATCTGAGTGGCAGAAACACTATTAAAAGAAATAAAATGAACATTAAAATAAAAAAGGAAGAAAATCTCCCATGTTACATATGTAAAATCCAGGTGAAGAAAAGGAAATGATAAAAACCACAGTGCTTTTCCTCTTTAATGAGAGCACATATAATCTGAGAACTCTGCTAACATGGAGTCCAAAATAGAGCTGGCTGGCTTGGATGAGGTCTCAAAGCCCACATCCCAAAGTGACGCAATACTGCTGAGCCTGGACCACACTACAAGCACAGCATCTAAATAACATCTGAAGAACTGTGCTTGCTTTTAAGTACACTTTAAAGCAGTAATGGCTTCTGTTAAATAACTAAAGAAGGGCCTCTGGGTTAGGCAGAATGAAACAGATTTCTTATCTCCCAAAATTCCACTAAAATAAGACAAGATATTTTGATTTTCAAACATAAAGCTAGTAAGACAAGGAGGAAAAAAATAATTGGTGCTGGAAAACAGAAGGATAAAAACAGTAACAAGCTGAATGGATCTGGGAGAGTTGAATTCCAAGGCAGCAATGAGAAAAAACTATGGGGATGCTATGAGTCAGGACTGACTGAATCATACAAATAACGAGAAAAACCTAAAAGCCAACACAATTAGGACTGCTGACTTAAAGAGGCAAAGAATACAGTACCACAAGAACAGACCTAAGTATGTCCTCAGAATGGGATGGCTTAAATATGGAAGACAAAAGTCAAATGATATTTAAGACATGTGTGTCATCCAGTTTAAACCAACTCACATTCGACCCTCAGCGGGTTTTCAGAGGCAGCAAATCTCATGGTTTGAGACCATACTTCCGCTGAGCAGCTGGTAGATTCATTCATACTTCATGCCTATGGGGCATTCTAAGAAAAAGAAATTGCACTGGACCCTGAATACCAAGTCTTATTATTTCTTCTCTTTTACTCAGTTAATAGAATTTTGGCAAAAAGACAATTTAAAACGAGAAGATATTTAGGGGAAAAAATCCAAAGAAAATTATCTTTAGGACCTCACACAAAAATTTATTAGTCCACATACACACACATTTAACCATGAAAGAAAAAAATGACAAACTTGTTTTAATAAAAATGTAAAACTCCTAGTGATTAAAAAGTCATAACAACATTACAAGGGATTTATGTCTACAAAATACAGAATGCTTTCAAGTCAAAAGACAAAATAGCCCATGACTTCAACAGACATTTTAGAATGAGCACCAATAAAATGCTCAACTTAGCACTTTTATTAGTTGTAAAAAAAATTAATAATAAATTTAAAATTCCAAATTAAAGTACAAAGAGATGCCACAACATCATCACCAAAAAAGGTTAAAGCTGGGAAGACGGCTGCGACCACAAGGCAGGGTGAGTGCAGAAGAGCTGGAAAGGAACTCCCTGTACTGCAGAGGGGAGCTTAAAATGAGCCAACTACTCTGCAGAACTTGTATGGCAGGTTTTCAAAGGTTAAACATTTACTTATCCTACAACCCAGAATTTCTTATCCCAGGTGATTTACCCAAAAGAAAAGAAAGCATATTCTTACAAGGACTTTTGGTAAGAAGGGTCATAGCTGCCTTATTCATATTTATTAAATAAAGCAGGAAACAATCCCAAATGTTCACCCACAGACAAGTGCATAAGCAGCATGGGCTAACTCATCTGATGAAAATACTACTCAGCAAGAAAATGGAATCAACTGTTTTGATACTTGGATGAATATCCTAAATATCTGAGCAAAATATAAGATACAGAGAATACTGATGATTCCGTTTATCTACTCCCACAAATAACCCAATGGTGATGGAGCAACAGGCTACCATGCTCCCTTGAGCAAAGTCCTTTCAGGAGTCAAGGTACCTTGCTCACTTAAAGTCCTCCTGTTGTTCCTGTCATGTGCTGTTGAGATGGTTCCAACTCATGTCAATCCTTTACGACAGAACTGACCTATGACGTTTCCCAGGAAGTCATCTTACAGCAGCAGATCACAAGGTCTTTTCTCCTGTGGAGCCCTGGGTGGGTATGGATTATGAACCTTTTCACGAGTAGCCAAGTGTTTAGCTACTCCACCACTACGGCTTCTTAAATACCCTCTGCTGTTGTTATGTACTAAGAAGTCAGAACCCCCTCATAGCTGACACTCTAGCTGGCTTTCAGAGACAGTCAAACCACACAGAAGGAGACTGCACATTTTTCTCCTGTGGAGCAACTGGTGGATTTGAACCTCATGCCTTTGGGTCAGCAGTACAACTCCTTACCACTAAACCACCAGAGCTCCTTTATTCTACAAGATACAAATGCAACCCAAATGACACTTCAAGAAATTTATTGTAACCCTGCCCATCAACATCTTAGGCAGAGGGTACTAAAAACTCACAAAGCTCAAGTCAAATTAAGTTCTAGGTTCCATCCAATTTAAATCAGCAATATTGTCCTTTGTGTAGCTAAATTTAAATTTGCTTCTCAGTGTTCAAATTTAAACAAAATACAGTTAGGGATAAATACATAGGTGATAAAGAAAAAGTGATGGAATAATCAGTATAGGAATCAACAGAATAGTTGCTTCTTGGGGTGGATCAAGAGGGGTGCAACTGGGGAGATGCACACAGGGAGCCTCCAAAGCAGAATTCAGATCTCGTTTTTTTGCTTGGTTTGTTTTGATATTTGGAAAAAGTATGTATATTTTGTATATTCTTCTACATAAATGATACTGTTTATTTTTTTAGATGTAAAAAAACTATTAAAGGTATAAATGGGGATACAAAGGATTAAGAAATTGCTATAGAGCCCTCAAGACTAATGGACAGGCATCACAATTAAATTTCAGAACAACTAAAATGTTGCACATTTAAAAAGCTAGTTCTAAGTGATTATCAGAACTGTAAGGAGTGTTGGGGGTGGGAGGTGTACAAAGAGCCAATTTTGGTACTTTTAACAAACTTTTTAATGCCTATAGTTTGGTGGTTACACACAAGGCGTAAAAGGACAAAGAAACCTCAGCCTGCCTTTAAGCGACCTTGTGAAGTACAAGTTTAATCACATGAGCAAACTCATCTCCATCACACCATCCTTCTAATCTGCAAAGGCAGCACAGATGATCAAATACAACTCTTAGCTTTCAGTACAACACCCTAATTATAGGTTTGGGATTTTCGACCACTCAGGTCTCCTGAAAGTTCTACCAAAAATATTTCTTTGCAAAACATTATGCATACGTATGTTGTTGTTCTGTACCACAGAGTTGGAACCGACCCACAGCTGACCCTCCAGCAGATTTTCAGAGGTAGTTAATTTCATAGGAGCAACTGGTAGGCTTGAACTGCTTGCCTGAAAGGCTTGAACCTGTTTTCTGGAAGTTTCAGCATTAAGGACATCGAGGCTAGCAAGAAATACGAAGTCATACTGACTCTGCTCCAGAGCTGACATGGCTTCATCCTGAGAGAAATGGCTGGAGGGTCAAAACTGCTGAGTTCCAATCCTGGGTCCCCTGCAGGCCTTCCATCTTTGAGGCTGGCAGTCAAATACAAGAAGCATGGCTAGACTCACACCATCTGATTAGTTGCTAAAACAACTAGATGATATGGAAGAGGTTTATTATTTTCTACCTCAGAAATATGTATTTACCTCAATTCTTGAATTTTGTCCATTTCTTTAGTTTTTAATTCTTCCAGTTCCTTCAATCTTTTGGAAGTTTCAGCATCAAGCCAAGCGAGCCTAGCAGACAGTACAAAAAATCCCAATCAATGTGGCCTTAAGTTGCAGTGTACATATTATTAAAACAGACCAGGAGTCAGGAATCCCAGTGGCCCTATCATGGCAACATTAAGGACTCAGTAGGTAACATGAATGCCCTGTACCCTTAAAATTCTTCACACAGTATTTAAAGTGAAAAATTAATTATGTGTAAAGTCATGCCCAGCTATTACATACAATACTAAGAAACTACCCAGGAATGTTCACAAAAACTAGCCTCATTTTGCTTGGAATTTTGTGTTCAACTGCAAAATGAAAGCCCTCACTGTACCTTCATGTTTAAATGAAGAAATATAATCTTAGGAACCTTATAGACACAATAAAGTCAAATGAAACTCCAAAGAAGAAGAGCTGGTCAGAACAATTTTACTGTGTATATAAGGGCTTTGATTTTCCGTTTAGTATACGTGACTATTCTCAAATAGTTTTAAGTAGATTAATGGTTCACTTTATGTCACTTTTGGATGACTGAAGAACGACTTCAGCCATACAAATACAGAGTACCAAAGGCAGAGAAGAATGTAAGTGGCACAGAAAATACCATTCACCTGACTTGTTAAAAGTTTAAGTATCCCAGACTTTGAGAGGAAAGAAGGATGGCTTCTGGAGTTCCCAGTAACCCTGCAGAAGAGTAGCTTATGGTTATGAGTAAAGAGCCATAATAATTTCCAGAGTTCCCCAAAGGCTACCAGCAGAGGGGGTGTCACGGTGCCCTGGGCTAGCACAGGGCCTATAGAGGCATAAAGGTTATTTAGGGAGCCTCATCAGAAGCACCCCCATCCTGCCCAAACACCAAACACTTACTGCTCTTTAATAGGTCTTATTGCTCCTCAGTAAGGCGGAAGCCAAATCTGTGCCTCACCTTCAACTAATCTAGGCAGGACAACAGTTTTTTCTCTTTTGTAGGACTCAGTACTCAAACTGTGGGTGTGGCTCTATGAAAGGACAATCCTGAAAAACTGTTGTTTTCTTCATAATCACAAAGATCAATCAAAAGAGGGGGGAACAGAGCCGCTGGGCACCTCTGTCTCCCTTCTCTCTCCTATTTAATTTGTTGCTATGTTCTACTGCTTATATAGCCCAATGCCATTCCTGAGAAGTCTTGCCTGGTTTCTCCATGTGGTCATTAGAGACTTCAAAGCTACCTCCCTGGGGGCATTCCCAATTCTACTGGACTGCCTATGTTCTCCCCTTGGCTCTGCCACAAGGCTAAGACATGTCTTATTCTTCTGGGACTTGCCCCAGCATCACAGGCTCATTCAGTGTCTGCTGAGTGAAAGGGTGAAGGAGTAGAAGTGCAAAGGATAAATAAACACACTATGCAGTCTATTATTTTCCACTTGCTTCTTTCTTCCTGTCCCCTCTCATCTCTGATTATCCATCCTGTGCCCCACAGTTCTTGTGTAGGTCCTGAAGATAATTCCAATTTTACTAATAACCTAACTGGCTTCCCAACTGTGATTCTAGTCTCAGGTTGATCGTACTACCACATCTTCTGGATTTCTACTTTTTTGGCACATCATGGTACAGATGTAGCAGAATTCACCAACCTCCACAAAAATGGGGAATGCTCGGCAATGTTCAAATTCCTAAGCCTACCTTTCTAGTTTCTATCATTAATGTTTTCCATGCGTATTTCATTTTTGGTGTGTATTATGCACTTGGAAAGGAGCTGCCCTGAGAACCCAAAGGCACGTAGTTCAAATCCAACAGTAAGTGTTCTGTGAATGATTTAATGCTTCTGAAAACCTGCTATGAGTTGGTTCTGACCCAACAATTAACAGCATCTCATTAAAACATTTAAATCCAAGTTTTCATTCCATTTCCAATCCCTTCATGAAGTCTTCCCAAACTTTCAGAGCAGTAAGTAATTTCTCCTTCATCTATGCCTTTATTTACCCGAAAATGTTATTATTATTAAAGTTAAAGTTTAGAGAGCAAACTGGTTTTCCACTCAGTAATTCATTCATAATGTGTCTTGTGATTACAATCTCCACATTGCCAATACTTTGTTTCCCAATTCCATTCATCTTTTTCCCCCTTCCTGCCTTCAAAGCTCTATCCCTGGAAAAATGCTGCCCTACTGATCTTGCATGGTTGCCTGCTCCAGGGCAATTCCTCTGTGTTACAGAGTACCTCCTTGGCCTGTCTATGAATTTGTCAGAAGAAGGAGGGTCAGGGAATCTCACTACTCTCTATCAGGCCAGGAAGCCTGGCTTTTCTAGGATTCTGAGACATTCTACTGGGAATCCCTTTCACAGCAGTATCAGGAGTGACAGCCAGGCACTGTCTAGTTCTTCTAATTGGTTTTTCAAATCTGAACACATTAGTTCTTAGTGCACAGCCATACCCTACTTTCTAGTTACACCCATCATCTTTTCCACTAACTTAGAATAGGCAAAGGCTGAGGCTGTGCCTTATTTACCCTTTTACAAAGTCTCCATATAGAGCTTACAGTTGTGCTGTGTACAAAGCAAGAAAATGAAGTACAGTTGATATTCATACAATTTTTAAGTGCAAGAACTAACAAGGAATAAAAAAAAGCACTCAATGAAACTGTAACAGAAAAGTTTGGTAATTTATACTTTAAGTAATCAACTTTGTAAACAGGAAAGAGAAGATAGGGTTTATTTTAGATTCTAGTAAAAACCCATGACTGTTTAGTTGCTTCAGACTCAGAGAAGCAATACAGATCCTCCTACAAGAAGTCTACTCGTTGCCAGAGACTTGAAATGTCAGCACAAACCTGACTGCTTCCTGTTCAGCAGCACCTTGCAGTTGACTTTCCTTCTGAGGATCTTCTTGTTGGACAGAACGTTCTTTTCTGCTATCTTTAGGGCTATGTTTCACCTTTGTCCACGCAGCACTGAGGAAAAAGAAAAGGGTGTATGTTTGTGTCCTCTGTCCAATAAAACCTAACAAACTGTCAGCTCAGAGAAGACGAAAGCATCACATTAACACAGTGTGGGATGCTGACTGAGGAGTGGAATGTGAAGAATGAGAGCTGTCAGATTTTAGGCTCAGTTAATTATTTTTTCTTCTGAGAGGTAATCACTACTAAATAAAGAAAAATGAACTGTCAATTACAGAGTAGGTGAACTCTTACAAAAGTCAGCTGTAATACGTAAATTTATGTCCTAATTTAACACTATGTGTCTGAAGCCGTATTCAGTCCCCTCCTTCATCCCTTACACTCAAACAGATATAAATTTAGTATACAGCACACACTTCATACAAATGTTTCCCTGGCCTTACTAATTGTATTCACGCCTGTATCAACATCCATATATAAACACAGACAACCGAGCAGAGTAATAAAAAAAACAAAAAAAGCACCGTATGACATTGAAGACCCGATTTTAGGTCGAACCCTTGTATGTTAAATTCTCTATATGTTCTCTCACCTTTGAAATGGAGTTGATAGATAAACACAGCCATGCATTTAGAATCACTTAGAGCCTGGTAAGTGAAGTCATGGAACTCTCTGCCGCTTAGAAAGCCCAAAAAGCAGACATCCAGGGTCATCTGTTCCCTCAGCCACCCCATCCCCACATTACCACTTTTTGCTTCCTCCTTCCCTTCTAGTGTCTGACCTCCTGGTCTTTCCACTGTGTTTTCAAGAACTGTTGTCCCACAGTAAGGAAATCCTCAACCATCATTTCCACCTAACTAACCAGCACAGGGTGCTTTAGGGATATGTCAGCTCCTTCTCTATGTGCTGTGAGTGAAACTGATAGGACAGCGAGGTTCCCTGTTGTTAGGAGAGTTGCTCCGAGAACTCTAAAATTTTACGTTCATAATGATCTTGCCTGAGAACTCAGCAAAGATGAGTGAGTGTCTGCTAGGTATTAGGCACTAAGTGAGGATCCTTCATCTAATAATCTATGTCCACAGGGTGAGAGGATTCACGGGAGGAACTCAGAACTATGGACAAGCATTAAAAAGGAAGCAAGGGCCAAACTTCTTGTGTCTCACTCAACCACAGGAGCAAAACTTCTTCAGGGGAATGAAGGTATATCTTACATTTCCTTTAAACTTCTGATTTGTGAACTAAAAATCATGCATTCCCTTGAATTTTTACACACCACTTTGGTGATGCAGGCGGGGACGTAGGGTTTGGAGGCACCCAAGGAGCCCTCTGGTCCTTTACAGGCTGTTGGCTCATTTTTAATCTGGACGAGACTGTCGTCTGATGCAACTTGCTTCTGACAGGCGGTTGATTTATTCTACTTCGTTCAGCTCTGTGAAGTCCCTGTGAGTGGTTAAGTGCACAAGATAAAGTTAGATGAATAATTAAAATGCCTCTGCTTTGAATCTTTCACTTACTGAATCTCTGAATTCTCTTATATTATTAATTCACCCAACTCAAAAGAAACTTATAATGCTGGAAAAAGATTACGTATGGGAGCTTTTTGGCAAAAGGGTATGACACTAACATATCCTTATTGGAAGGAAGAGAGATAGGGAAGTAGAATTGCAGTCTTGGCTTTTTCACCTTTATTTATTTACAGAATTTTTCTTAAATCATCATCTTAGAGATAAACTGTAATGACATTATCAGTTAAAAGACATAATCTTAATACCTACAATATATGAAAAGAAAAAAAAGAAAAGCTACAACTCAGCAAAAAGACAAACTCAAACAAGAAATGAGTAGGAAACTAGAATACAAATTTCACCAAAGATACCCAAATGGGCATGACTTCCTTTTCTCATTACTGTCAAGCTGGAACTTGATCCTCCAACCGCTGATTTCCGTGCTAGAAATGTCTCAAAAAATAAGTCCTCAAAAAAGTTCCCTGTTCAGACGGTGGCAGTGGCTTTCTGGCAGCTTAAGAATGAAATACAAGTAATAAAGTCATCATGATTCTCCAGAAGCTCTTCAAGTTTTCCTTTGTTATTCAGTCAGTGGTCTCAGTCCATTTGCAGAGGAACATTTGTGTTACTCCAGTGGCATTTAATAAAGAACTTGATCCTATACAGAAACTTTCTGTGGAGAAGATTAGAGCATACAAATCTAAAGGATTTGTATCATTTAGATCTGGAGGACCTGTTGATACTGGCCCAGTGGCCCAGAATATCGGCAAGATGTGGAGAAGGAGCTTTTTAAGCTTAAGCAAATGTATGGTGGTAAAGCAGACATGAATACCTTCCCTACCTTCAAATTTGAAGATCCTAAATTTGAACCTGTTGAAAAACCCCGGTCCTGAAGCATTATGTAAAATTAGTCTGGTAATTTGTTATGGATTGACTGTACAATTAAAAGTAGTATCAGAATAAACATTATTTCACAATTGTCACAATTCTCCTAACAAAAGCAAGTCCATGTTTAACAGTCTCAATACAGATACCACATTCTTTTTTAAAGGAGAATGAAAAGGCAACTGACAAAGTTATTTGGAGAAGAAACCCTGAAAAAACAAAGCACTTCTGAAAAATAAAAATGAAGTGGGATCTCCTGATCTCAAAACCTACTGTACAAAAGGGAAAAAAACCAAAACCAAACCCCTACTACACAGCTGTAATAACCAAAACAATTTGGTACTGGTACAATGACAGGAATGTAGACCTACGGAAAATAATTGAGAACCCAGAAATTAAACCATCTTTCTATTAACTGCTATTAGAAAAGGAATGAAAACCTATTAAAAATAGGGAACGATACAGGCCAGCTATCAACAGAAATTCAAAGCAGGATTCACACCTCTAACCCTTCAAAAAAAATCAACTCAAGATGGATCTGAGACCTAGGCGTTAAGCCTAAAACCATAAACACCCTAAGAGACAAACTGGTACCAAGATTAGAAGACCTCACCCATAGTATAGAGGCTGTCAAATATAACCAGAAATACACAACCCAGAGAGGATAAAATTGATGAATGGGACCTTCTAACGATTAAATCTCTGAGCAAATAAAAATATTTTTCCCAACAGCGTGAAAAGAAAAAAACATTTGGCAATACCATTTCAGATAAAAGATCTCATAACAAAAATTTAAAGAATACTATAGGACCTCCAGAAGAAAAAGGACTGGTGGGCAAAATGGTTAAGAGACATGGAAAGACTTCAGAGAGGAAGAAAGAGAAGAAACTCAAAATCACTGGCAATAAGAGATGCAAATCAAAACCACAATGAGGTATCTTCTCATCCCAGTTGCAGTGCTAAAGTTCATTAGTTCAATATGACAGAAAGGATTAAATTCTGGCTGGAGAGGCTGTGGAAAGATGGAACTTTAATACACTGTTGATGGGATTATAAATGGTATAACCTTCTGGAAGATATCTGGTGTTTCGGGGGGGGGGGGGACGACAAACCAACAACAACAACAACAAAAAAACAAAACCAAAAACTGAACATAGAAATTCCGTAACATTCTACTAAGCAATTCAATTACACTATTAGGAATATACCGTAAAGGAACCAGAGTTGCTACCCAAACAAGCATCTGCACACCCATGTTTAGTGCTGCAAAGATATGGAAACAACCCAAGTATCCACCAAAAAACAAAAGGATAAGAAAAACTATGGTATATTCACACAATGGAATACTAAGCAGCACAGCACTAAAAAACAAAGAACTTATAAAATGTTATACAACATGGGTGATCCTGGAAGACATTATGCTAAGTGAAATGACTCAGTCCCAAAAGGACAAATAGTACATAACACCACTGTTAGAAAACAAGACTGACATGGGGTTGGGGAGGAAGAAAAGAGAGGGTAACTAATAAACATTGCATTGGGACAAATGAATTGTTTCAAAGGAATATATGAACAGGCATTATCTGTATGACAACAGTCCAGAATAACAGGTGCCAAGCAAAGTGGAGGGAGGAAATTATGCAAAAATGAATGAATAATTTATGGTTTAAAAAAGTGAACTTGGAAAAAAAAAACAACACAAAAAAACAAACAACAACAAAAAAAAAACCCCCAAAACCAAAAACCAAAAAAAAGTGAACTTGGGCAAGGGGGTAGGAAGGAAAATGTGCAACAATGAATGAATGGAAATCCAACTTTTCTATAAACTTTCATTAAAATCACAATTAAAAACCAAACCAAATAGAGAACAACGTTGTGCCTTTGGGGAAGACCATGCTGATTTCCTACAGGTTCTATTCTGATTTCTCATTTACCCACATACTAGTTTGCTTATTGCTTAGAAACTTGATTCTAATCCATAAATTCTCAGTAACAGGTAATTATTATTAAATATACTTTCCCAGGGCCAACTTACAATCCACTGGCTTGCTACAGAAGTCTCAGCTATTGCCATCAAATAGCATTTTGGATAACTAACAAGTATTTAGAGTAGGAGGCGGTCTTCTGTCCACTTCTCCTCTGGTGAGAGCTCTATGTTAGTTTTAAGCAAAAGCTTAAAATACTGTTTAGAAAAGCAAGCTCTCATTACCCAGTTAGCTTTTAAAGCTGTGCTGGAAAGTTATTTACCCTAGAATGTCTTTCAATGCTAAGTGATCATTATTTAATCAGTATATATCTTTGTTGTTTGTATTGTCAAGTCAGGACTGACTCAAAGCTGACCCTCCAGTGGGTTTTCAGAGGTAATGAATTACATAAGAGGACATGCCCATGTTTCTCCTGTGGAGCAGCTGGCAGATTGAACTGCATGCCTTTGGGGTGACAGCACAATTCCTTTCCACTAGGCTACCAGAGCTCAGGAATAAAGTCTCAAATCTCATACTTCCAAATCAGAAACCTGGGGGAAAGTTTTAAAACAGGTTTCTTTTAAAGTCTTGTGTGCTGAGGACTTTGATATCAAATCACAATTTTACTATGTTGTGCCGGGACAATGACACAGCCCAAACACTGGGGCAATTTAAAAAATTACCCCTTTTCTCCACTCTTCTGTTAAAGAGAAAACCAAGCAGGAGAAAGTCAAGCTTGAATGGCTGCATTCAGGGCTATTCTACCTTACTGCCTGAGAGCCCCAATCCGGGCTCCATTATTTACTACCATGTATGAACCTGCACAACTTTCAATTAGTTTAAGTGATCCAAAAGGAAAAAGTGACTTCATACTTGCTGTGGTCTTGCAGGTAACGTAGATTCTTTCTTCTTAACAAGCGCATTCAAAGACACCGGCTTTTTTTTCACTGTTTGTGCTGTCTTTTGATCTAACATAGATGGAACTTCTTGAAGGATATCTACAGCCAATTCATCAATCTCATCTTTTACTCTCTGGGTCACAGGAAGCTCTGTATCAGGCTGGTGTTTATCTGCATGGAAATTTCAGAAGGACAAAGGGGATATGTTATTCAAATCAAGTCAGTGAAAATTATTATCCATAGAGAGATACTCTTCAAATATGTACTGGTTAAAACCAACTCACAGCAGTGAATGAGCATTGTGAAAACCTACCAAACTCACATCCTCTTACCAATGCTATGCAGTATTAAGCAGAAACCTTGGATGACTGAATCTCAAGTTCTTATTTACTCATTCACCAGGTTCTTTAATTCTAATTTGAGAATCTCTTGTATTTATCCCCATTCTCCCCTGTCTTCTCCCATGCTGAAACGGCAGACCTGCAGTGTCTGTGACAATGATACTAAAACCTCACTGCTGTTGAGGTGATCCCACTTCCTAGCAATGGACATCAGATTTCTAAGAATTTAAATTTCTTGAGAGAAGCCCAACATTCTCCTGTGCAGCAACTGAAGGATTTCGGACAAAATTAGGTTAGCAGTGTAAGATATAAAGCAGTATGTCAGCAGAGTTCCATGACCATAGTAAGTTAGCAACTCAACTGGTTCACTCTGATGCTATCTTTAAAAAAAAAAATTTCAATGTCACTCCTCAGCACAAAACTTCCAGTGTTTCCTATCTACTACAGAATAATGTCTAAACTTTACATATGACATTCACCTGGAACTGGAAAGGACAAAATTATATGTAGAGTGATGTCCTATTGGAAAATCCAAGAAAAATTATACATGAGAAGAATCAGAAAGAGAACTCAGCATAATCTCCACCAGAATCTCAGGGGCTAAAGCAATTGTAAAGAGGAGGATCAAAATAGAGGAACTCAAATATTCCAATTTTAAAAGTTACTAACATAATCACAAGCAAGATAGTGCAAAGATAGGCATTCAGATTAATGGAACAGAATTAGAATGCAGAAATAAGGCAGCAGTGAAATTATTTTAACAATGATACTAAATTCATCCACTGGGCAAAGCGACTAGTCTTTCTCAAAAACAGTGCTGGACAACTGGAAAGCCACATACAAAAGAAGAAGATGAACTTTCACCTCATACCATTTAAGAAAATGATCTCAAAATAGGTAACGACCTAAATGTGAGTTAAAACTACAGCACTCTTAAAAGAATATATGATAATAAATTCTGATGATCTTGGATTTGGCAGAGGATGCTTAGACATGATACTAAAAGCACATTAACAGAAAAGATAAACTAGATTTTTGGGCACTAAGAGATACTATCAATAAACTGCAAAGACAACCCAAAGCAGGGGAAAAGTATTTGAAAATTATGTATCTGATTTGTTAGATATCACTGCATCAGATCTGACTCATAGCTGACCCTGCAGAGTATTTTCAGAAGCAGTAAATCACGGTCCTCCTCAGTTTCAGCAAGCAGGGTTGTGTCATCTACTTAACGGAGATTGTTAATAGATCTTCCACCAATCCTGATGCCACAATTCTCCTCATAGAGCCCAGCCTCTCGGATAATCTGCTCTGCATACATG